ACCACCACATATTTTTTTTCACGTGAGATTAGTTCAGGAGTGGTGTGTTCTATATCAAAGGCCAAAAATAGCATTTGTAGATTATTCTCATTCAGTGATCATATATAATTACTCAAAGTTTACTCTAATTGCTGTTCTTGTAGTTTGATTGATTTCTGGAAAAGAACATGCTTTCCTTCATAAGTCCTACCTTAACCCCTTGCCCTCAAACCCTAGCAAGTGGGCCCACCTGAGTCTGCAGGCGGCTTCTGCAACACCAGTGATCTTCAGTGCTGCAGCTCAGTGTTTCCTGGGAAGAATCCCTTCCTGCTTAGGGTAGAAACTGGAAAGAAGTCATCCCATGAACCCCAGAATATGACCCTTGCTACTGCACCCCCTGAATACATGTAAGCCCTTTACATTCAGTCCTCAAAACCGCCCTGTGAAGTAGCTACCATTAATCTACCATATTCACAAGTAACACCCAAGGCTCAAGTAGCAGCACATCCAAAGTCATGTGGCTGGTAAGTGACACAACTCATTTTCTGACCCCTAGTTTTTCACTGTTCCTTGGAGACAACAAGCACTTTGCGGGGTCACTTCATCATAATTTCACCTCCTCTCCAACTTCCCTCACCCTACACCCAGGACAAGTTGGGGGAGATTCAGTGATTACTATTTTAGCTAACGATAAGGCTTTTGCCTTGCTGAATGAAGTGTGCAAACTGAGAGGAATTTGGAGAGAGAATACAGAAGAGAAACCTGTGCCAATGGTTGCAAGAGGAGGTTTGGGGGAGAGAGAGAAGCCAGGGGAGAGAACTTGAGGAGGAGTGAGGGGTTTCTTTTTTTTTTCTTTTTAATTTTTAAATTTTATTTATTTTTTATACAGCAGGTTCTTATAAGTTACCTATTTTATACATATTAGTGTATACATGTCAATCCCAATCGAGTGAGGGGTTTCTAATGGGGGTATCTATTTTGTCTTTGTGGAGCATTGGTATAATTTCTTCCGGAAATGTTTGGTAGAATTCACCAGTGAACTCCACTGGGCCTCCAATTTTGTTTTTTTTTCACATCTAATTTTAATTAATTAGTGTGTGATATAGCCCTGTCTCTTCAAGGCCCCTGTTACTGGTAATGCTGCTTCTCCACCTGGAGGCCAGCTACTTAGGTACATTCAGTTTGTGAAAATTAATCTGTGTATATTTTTCTGTATGTATGTAATACTTTGGTAAATCTTCTAAAAATAGTTTCCCTCTTTCAATTTTTTTTAAAGTATCTCGGATTCAAACTGACTTAAATAATAAGGACATTATTAACTCACATAAAAACTCCAAGGAGGGCAGCCCCAGAACTGGTTACTTCAGCGTCCAGTAATATCGTTAAGGACCCCGTTCCTCAATGACATTATGTCAGTTTTGTCCTCAGAGATGCAGAAGTTCTGGGCATTATATGTAGACACAACCTTGCCAAGAGGAAGGGAGTATTTTCATCCTTGGGTCCCTTTTTAAGAGCAAGAAAAATTTCCCAAAAGTAGGTCTGGTAATTTCTTATAAAATCAAACACACATCTACCCTGACCCAGCAATCCTACACCTGGCTATTTACCCATGAGAAATGGAAACAGATATACATACAGGCATACCTCAGGGACACTGGAGGTTTAATTCCAGACCATTAAAGCAAGTCACATGAATTTCCCAATGCTTATAAAAGTTATGTTTACACTATACTGTAGCCTATTAAGTGTGCAATAATAGTGTTATTTCTAAAAAATGTATACACCATGATTTAAAAATACTTTATTGCTATAAAATGGTAACCATCATCTGAACCTTCAGCGAGTCTCTAATCTTTTTGCTGGTGGAGGGTCTGAAATATTTAAAGAATTATCAAAATGTGACAGAGAGGCACGAAGTGAGCAAAAGCTGTTGGAAAAATGGCACCAATGGTTGCTCAGTGCAGGGTTGCCACAGACCTTCAATTTGTAGAAAAGCAGTATCTGTGAAGCGCAATAAAGTGAGTACAATAAAATGAGGCATGTCTGTACATACAGGCACATGTGTACACATACACGCACACACACAGGAAACACATACAAGAATGTTCTTACCTGCCTTGACTCATAATATCCAAAATTTGGAAACAGTCTAGATATCAATCTATAGAAGAGTGGATAAACAAACTGTGGTATATTTATTCAATGGAATACTACTCACTAATAAAAAGGAATAAATTACCAATACACGTGAAAACATGAATGAATCTAAAAACGTTACGCAAAGTGAAATAAGCCATACACGTGGTGGGAAAAAAAAATCAATGGTGGAAAAAGGGTACATAGAGGAGTTTGCCTCTGGGAGTGGGAGAGTGAAAGGCCGGCCAGGATTGACTGAGAAGGGACATAAAGGAACTTTCTGGGAAGATAGTAATGTTCTAGGTCACAGTAGGTTACATAGGTCCACGCATTTGTCAAATCAGTGAATATTCACTTAAGATTTGTGTATTTCGTCATCTATAAATTTTACCTCGAAAAAAAAACTGAATAAATTTTGAATTTTAGTTAATGATATGAATGCCAAAGTATTTAGGTAGAAGTGAACTGATATTTGCAATTTACTTTGAAATGAATTTTTAAAAATAAGAGTAATTGATAGATAAAAATATAGACAAATGGGTTGATATGTGAAATGGCAAGTTAAAAAAATTACAGTATAAACTGGGTGGTGCCTCTAGAGGTTCTCAACGTGAAATTCTCAATTTAGTGTACACAACTTTTTTCATGATAGAACGTTAGTAGGAAAAGGGTTTGTATAAAAAGGGTCTCAAGGCCAAATAAATTTGGAAAATATTAGTTTAATGAAATTTAAGTAGGTTTCTTTAAGGGGAAGATTTATTAGAGCCTTAAATATACTGATATGAATGCTGGATTTATATACACATGCACACGTGCGCACGTGTGTTTGTGTGTGTGTGTGTGTATTCCCTAACTTAGATTCCCCCCACATAAAACCCAAACTGAGGGCTTCCCTGGTGGCGCAGTGGTTGAGAGTCCACCTGCCGATGCAGGGGACACGGGTTCGTGCCCCGGTCCGGGAAGATCCCACATGGGCTGGGCCCATGAGCCATGGCCGCTGAGCCTGCGCGTCCAGAGCCTGTGCTCTGCAACGGGAGAGGCCACAACAGTGAGAGGCCTAAGTACCGCAAAAAAAAAAAAAAAAAAAACTGAAAGGGAAGAGAGAACTGTGAAACAGAGAGCACTGTGCTCTCCAGTCCCCAACATTCCCCTGCCTTCCAGGGACCACCACCAAGTGACTCTCGTCCCCTGGGCTTCAGTCTGGATTTCACTAGCTCATTTCCCTTCAGTCCTGGGCATATAAGACAAGCTGCTCTAAATCAGATCAGAAGCCAGCAGGTCTTTCTGGCTACCTTGGCTGCCTTTCCTGCTCTGACCTCCTTTTAGCAGCAGGAAGATTGCCATCCATTCCTCATCATTTTTGTCAAATGAGAAGACCTGGATTTGGGCCCCCTTCATTCTCAAGAAGAAAATGGATCTCCTAGGGCCTGAACAAATGCACTGTTGTTACTGATTTTAATTGGTGATTAAGCCCTGAACATCTTGAGAAATTAAGCCTGTTTCGATAGCCCAGATCTACAGGAAGCCAAATTGTCACAGCTCTCCATACTCACCATGTGTTAAAGTGACATTTCTGCTCCCCTCCAGTCTAATTTTGGTGACTTTTTGTTTGAATTCACACTTGTGTGAATGTTAATAGCACGGGAGGGTTGCATGTGCTGAACGCACTGACATTTTCTCTCCTGAAGGAAGAAACATATAGCTTTTGCTGTGTGTTGTGTGCCATTGGTGCAAAGGATTGTGCAAGAAGAGGGAACAAGACCTTCTGGCTCTGTTCCCAGATTCAGTTCCTGTTCTAGGAGCCCCAGGGGAGAGCTCATCAGGCAGCCGCTTGGCCCTGAGGGCTCTGAATGTCCGCTGCAAGCTGAGCGGGCAGGGAGACAAGCTCCGTGGAGTCATCTGGTGCCAGCTCCCGAGCTCAGGAACGCGCTCCAGAATCGGGCCAGCGATGCTTCCAGAGCACACATGCGCCAGTGGCACTAATTGGACACGATTCCTCTCAAGCCGTTTACAAGTTCATCCCTGGAGCCTGTGGAGAAATGGAGCTAGCAAACGCCTGCAGCTTCATCTGCCCGCCTCTGGTAGGGAGCCTGCAAGGCTCATTGAAGCAGTTGTAATGTTGTTGCCTGCTGCAAAAAGGAAGTCTGTGCTGCAAACACTCTGTATCCTCACTTCATACCCCTGCCAGGGGTCCCGGTCAGAGCCTAAAACCAGCCAGAGGTCAGAAGTCTCCCTTGGCCAATAAGGCTCGTAATGAACACACTTCCCATAAGCCTGTGGCCTCTTAGAATTCAGAGCCAAAAAAGAAAAGTAAAAAAGAGAAAAAACCCAACAAAACAAACAAACAAAACCCCTCAAAGCCAATGATTTCAGAGACGACGTCAAAACAAACATTCATTTGAAGTCAGATCACGCTTTTTCCAAAATAATTTTTTTTTTTCCTGAACCATCCTAAAATATCAGGGAGTATTGCTACACATCCCAATGGGAAACCTGATACATGCCTTTCCATGGTCACAGGCTCTTCATTAAAAAAAGAATGTATAAAAGACAGACAACTTTGACCGAAACCTCCTTTTCCCCTCGCCTCTCATGCTGATAAATACTATTAGCAGAAAGCAATTCAAACAATACTGGTTCCTCTACATGACAACACAGAGCTGGCTTGGTGAGCAGACACCAAGTGTCAACAGATCAGGGTAGCCATGCATGTCTCTGCTGCCCTGGCTCATCACCGAAGAAGACTGTGTCATGCTATTTCATGAGTCGACCAGTTCTCTAGCAACCATTGTGCATGCACATCCGATGTTCAGAATGCTAGACCAAGTATCTTACCAAAGGTAATAAGGTGTAAATAGGTTCAGACTACTAATAAGTATACTCACTCAGAAGTTCAAATAAAGGCTGAGTCTGTGCTTGGCTTTTCTCCAGTTTTTCTACGGTGGGGTCAGTCTTTTCATTGACTGGGACTTCTTTCTTGGCTCCGCAGGGGTCTTCTTTTCATCTCTCTCACTTTCCTCTCTAGAATGACAGTGGTTGTTTACTGAGCACTTAACTTGTATGCATGCCTCATCACTGCCCCACATTACACCAGAACATAAGTAAAATCATCCCTATTTTACAAGTGAGGAAACCGAGGCTCAGAGAAAACTGGCCAAGGCACACATTGCCAATAAGCAGCAGAGTTGGGACTTGAACACATCTGAGTCCCCAATCCATGCCCCTATTGATACACCATATCTTCTCCTGGAGTTTCTCTTTTCCCCCTCGACAACTATTCTCACTCTTCATAAAACAGTGGAGCCACTCATTCATTGACCCTTTCAACTATCAAGCGTTTATGGAGTACCTAGTACAAAAGATAAACAGAAAGGAGTGCTTAGTTTACTTCCTAAAGAGAAGGCACTTCCTTTGAAGCTGTTATTTTCCTCTACATCTACTCCCCAAAGCTTTCTGGTTCCCACAAGCATGTACATACACAGTCCACTATGGTCTTCAGAGTCCATACTTTTCACAGTTGCACAGTTTTCATTCCAAAACGGCAGAAAGGTAGATGGTCACATTGTTAAAGGTTTCTAGTTGAGAAAGTATGAACTAGAGCAGCTTGTTAGGATCAGGATGTCTCTAGGTTAGATTACTCTAACGATGACCTAAGTGATTCCTATCCTTTCAGGAACTACCCTGGGTTTGTATTTGAATGTGCTTTACTAAGTCTCTCCAAGCACTAGCATCCTAGACGAAATTCACGAGAGAGGGGTTGGACAAAACTCTAGTTGGGAAATAAAGGTAAGTGTAATATCCTGGTTGAAGTTCTTGCTACAACTAACGTGGATTGGAATATCTAAAAGAATAAAAGAACAATAACGCTTGCTATTTCCTACTCACACTGGAAGAATGCTTTGGGTCACCAAGTTAAAATATTTAGAACTTATTTTAGCCAAAGCTAAAAACAGTACTCATCAAAAGAAATAAGCAATTGACTAAACAAACAGAAAATACTGTACAAATGTAACAAATAGAATAGAGTTACAAATGTGGTAGGTATAAATTCAAGCATATATCTTTTATAGTTTCAATGTCCAAGGTCTAAATATACCCATTACAAGACAGAGATTTTCAAAACAGATTAAAAACAAGATGTGAACACTAATCAAAAGAAAGCTCGAGGGCTTCCCTGGTGGCGCAGTGGTTGAGAGTACGCCTGCCGATGCAAGGGACACGGGTTCGTGCCCCGGTCCGGGAAGATCCCAAATGCCGCGGAGCGGCTGGGCCCGTGTGAGCCATGGCCGCTAAGCCTGCGCGTCCGGAGCCTGTGCTCCACAACGGGAGAGGCCACAATGGTGAGAGGCCCACGTACCGCCAAAAAAAAAAAAAAAAAAAAAAGCAAGCTCGAGTAGTTAGCTTAATTTCAGACAAAGCAGACTTCACTCATGACAAGGAAGATTATCAGGAATAAAGAGAGACGACAGAGACATAATAAAGGGGTCAGTTCTCTAAGAAAACAAAACAATCCTAATGTGTATGCATCTAACAAGAGAACGGCAAAGTACATGTGGCTGTGGGCCACAGCGGGGCTGGGAGGGGACTCTGGACTGGCCCCCTCTTGGGCGTCAGTCTTTCCTTCTCCTCACCTGAAATGCCACTACTGCTCCCTGTGGTCACGCCCTACACATCCTCTGACACAGAAACCGCGATGCTTGATGTTGCATAGGCCTCTGGATCTGGACTCCCTACCTTTTTTTTTTTGCTAAACTTTGAAAAAATGGACTCTATTTCACCAATCTCTGCCTTATAATCCAGTAAACTTTCCCGGAGAATTCTCAAGAGACCCTCAAATCTTTACACTCACCAACCATGGTATGATAATGGAAAAATGGCTCTTATAAGGAAGTACTACTCCCATGGACCAAATGTTACACATATGCTATTGTGATTAATAAACCACAAGTTTTCTTGAGGACATTTCTAATTCATTGCATGTATTTTCTCAGTCATTTGATGCTAAACTATACCACTGTGTCACATCAGGGCCCAAGAATTCAAAGGATTTCTCAAACGTACAATAAACATTAACTCATACGATAAATCCTCACTTCACATTCTCTTCACCAAGAGCAAACCAGAGCCATTTGTGCTGTCCTTCTGCCCCTCCCCTGGAATGCTGCTGCCTCATCTACTTTCCAAACCCTCTACATCCTGGGGCCTAGCTCCAGCCCCTGATTCTTCTTCTTCTTTTTTTTTTTTTTAATAAATTTACTTTTTCTTGGCTGCATTGGGTCTTTGTTGCTGCATGTGGGCTTCCTTAGTTGCGGTGAGCAGGGGCTACTCTTCGTTGCAGTGCATGGGCTTCTCATGCAGTGGCTGCTCTTGTTGGGGAAAACAGGCTCTAGACATGCGGGCTCAGTAGCTGTGGCACATGGGCTCAGTAGTTGTGGTGCACGGGCTTAGTGGCTCTGCAGCATGCGGGATCTTCCCGGACCAGGGATCGAACCTGTGTCCCCTGCATTGGCAGGCACATTCTTAACCACTGCGCCACCAGGGAAGCCCCCCTTTCTTCTTGCCACTTCCCCTCACTCTCAGTCGCTCTCTCATCATGATGGTCATGCCCATCTCTGCCCTCCTGTGGGAGCTGGAGTCTGGGCCCTCAAGGCAGACACCACTTAATTTTCTTATTTGTACTCTAAGCCAGAAGACAGGTAAGAATTTTTAAGGTGCTGATAAGCAGAATTTCAAGACAGCAGTTTTGATTTGTTCAAAGTGAGTTTTCCCACCAAAGGGAAAAAAAGATAAAGTATGTCAGTATGAAGGGATCCAAGTAGCATATCCCATATCCTAGTTAATTCAAAACCTGACTTTTTGTATAGTGATGGTCAAGTTAAAGCTAGCAGACTGACAAAGAAGGCAAGAATATACAATGGAGAAAAGACAGTCTCTTCAATAGGTGGTGCTGGGAAAACTGAACAGCTACTTGTAAAAGAATGAAATTAGAACATTCTCTAATACCATACACAGAAATAAACTCAAAAGGGATTAAAGACCTAAATGTAAGCCTGGATGCTATAAAACTCTTAGAGGAAAACATAGGCAGAATACTCTTTGACATAAATCGTAGCAATATCTTTTTGGATCCACCTCCTAGAATAATGAAAATAAAAACCAAAATAAACAAATGGGACCTAATTAAACTCAAAATCTTCTGCACAGCAAAGGAAACCATAAACAAAATGACAACCCACACAATGGGAGAAAATATTTGCAAATGAAGGAACTGATAAGGGATTAATCTCTAAAATATACAAACAGCTCATGCAGCTCAATATCAAAAGAACCACCAACCCAATCCAAAAATGGATGGAAGATCTAAATAGACATTTCTCCAAAGAAGACATACAGATGGCCAAAAAGCACATGAAAAAATACTCGACATCACTAATTATTAGAGAAATGCAAATCAAAACTACAATGAGGTATCACCTCACATAGGTCAGAATGGCCATCAAAAAATCTACAAACAATAAATGCTGGAGAGGGTGTGGAGAAAAGGGAACCCTTTTACACTGTTGGTGGGAATGTAAATTGGTACAACCATTATGGAGAACAATATGGAAGTTCCTTAAAAAACTAAATATAGAACTACCATATGATCCAGCAATCCTACTCCTGGGCATATATCCAGAGAAAACCATAATTTGAAAAGATACATGCACCCCAATGTTCATAACAGCACTATTTACAATAGCCAAGACATGGAAGCAACCTAAATGTCCCTTTACAGAGGAGTGGATAAAGAAGATGTGGTACAGATATATCAATACAATGGAATATTACTCAGCCATAAAAAAGAACAAAATAATGCCACCTGCAGCAACATGGATGGACCTAGAGATTGTCATACTGAGTGAAGTAAGGCAGAGAAAGACAAATATCATATGATATCACATATGTGTGGAATCTAAAAAAGAAAAAAGGTACAAAGTAACTTATTTACAAAACAGAAATAGAGTCACAGATTTCAAAAACAAACTTACGGTTACCGGGGGGAAGGGAGGGGAGAGGGATAAATTGGGAGATTGGGATTGACATATACACACTACTATATATAAAACAGATAATAACTTATCCCTACTGTATTCCACAGGGAACTCTACTCAATACTCTGTAATGACCTATTTGGGAAAGATATATATATATATATATATATATATATGGATAACTGATTTATTTTATGGTACGCCTGAAGCTAACACAACAATATACATCAACTATACAGAAAAAAGACCCTTAATGGCTTCCCTTAATGGCTTCCGGGAAGATGGCGGAAGAGTAAGACGCAGAGATCACCTTCCTCCCCACAGATACACCAGAAATACATCTACACGTGGAACAACTCCTACAGAACACCTACTGAACGCTGGCAGAAGACCTCAGACCTCCCAAAAGGCAAGAAACCCCCCACGTACCTGGGTACGGAAAAAGAAAAAAGAATAAACAGAGACAAAAGGATAGGGACGAGACCTGCACCAGAAGGAGAGAGCTGTGAAGGAGGAAAGGTTCCCACACACTAGAAGCCCCTTCGCGGGCGGAGACTGTGGGTGGCGGAGGGGCAAAGCTTCGGAGCCGCGGAGGAGAGCGCAGCAACAGGGTACGGAGAGCAAAGCGGAGAGATTCCCGCACAGAGGATCAGGGCCGACCGGCACTCATCAGCCCCAGAGGCTTGTCTGCTCACCTGCCGGGGCGGGCGGGGGCTGGGAGCTGAGGCTCGGGCTTCGGTCGGAGCTCCGGGAGAGGACTGGGGTTGGCGGCGTGAACACAGCCTGCAGGGGGTTAGTGCGCCACGGCTGGCCGGGAGGGAGTCGGGGAAAAGTCTGGACCTGCTGAAGAGGCAAGAGACTTTTTCTTCCCTCTTTGTTTCCTGGTGCGCAAGGAGAGGGGATTAAGAGCGCCGCTTAAAGGAGCTCCAGAGACGGGCGCGAGCCGCGGCTATCAGCAAGGACCCCAGAGACGGGCATGAGACGCTAAGGCGGCTGTTGCCGCCACCAAGAAGCCTGTGTGCGAGCACAGGTCACTCTCCACACCTCCCTTCCGGGGAGCCTGTGCAGTCTGCCGCTGCCAGGGTCCCAGGATCCACGGACAACTCCCGCGGGAGAACGCAGCATAGCGCGCCTCAGGCTGGTGCAACGTCGCGCCGGCCTCTGCCGCTGCAGGCTTGCCCCGCCCTCCATGCTCCTCCCTCCCCCACCGGCCTGAGTGAGCCAGAGCCCCTGAATCGGCGGCTCCTTTAACCCCGTCCTGCCTGAGCGAAGAACAGATGCCCTCCAGCGACCTACAAGCACAGGCGGGGCCAAATGCAAAGCTGAGCCCCTAGGAGCTGTGAGAACAAAGAAGAGAAAGGGAACTCTCTCCCAGCAGCCTCAGAAGCAGCGGATTAAAGCGCCACAATCAACTAGATATACCCTGCATCTGTGGAATACATGAATAGACAGCGAATCATCCCAAATTAAGGAGCTGGACTTTGAGAACAAGATTTATGATTTTTTCCCCTTTTCCTCTTTTTGTGAGTGGGTATGTGTATGCTTCTGTGTGAGATTTTGTCTGTATAGCTTTGCTTCTACCATTTGTCCTAGGGTTCTATCCATCCGTTTTTTTTTCTTCTGTTAATTATTTTTTTATTTTAATAACTTTATTATATTTTATCTTCCTTTATCTTACTTTATCTTTTTTCCTTCCTTCCTTCCTCCCTCCCTCCTTTCTTTCTTTCTACTTTTTCTCCCTTTTATTCTGAGCCGTGTGGATGAAAGGCTCTTGGTGCTGCAGCCAGGAGTCAGTGCTGTGCCTCTGAGATGGGAGAGCCACCTTCAGAACACTGGTCCACAAGAGACCTCCCAGCTCCACATAATATCAAACGGTGAAAATCTCCCAGAGATCTCCATCTCAACACCAGCACCCAGCTTCACTCAACGACCACCAAACTACAGTGCTGGACATCCTATGCCAAACAATTAGCAAGACAGGAACACAACCCCACCCATTAGCAGAGAGGCTGCCGAAAATCATAAGTCCAGAGACACCCCAAAACACACCAACAGACATGGACCTGCCCATCAGAGAGACAAGATCCAGCCTCATCCACC